CTAGGCCCGAAACGTCAGCCTCTCTGCTCCTACGATGCTGCTTGGCCTGCTGTGTTCATCCAGCCCTGCACCTTGTTGTCTCGGATTCTCCAGCATCTGCAGTTCCTACTATCTCAGAGATAGTATGTTCGGGTGAAGGGCGAGGCTGGTTGGTGTGGGGAATGCTGGATGATGAGGGAAATTGAGGCCTTATTCTGAGAATAAGAAGGAAGCATATCTCAGGTGTGGAAGGTAGAGATCGAGTGAGTCCCTAGAAGAGTATCAAGGCAGTAGGAGTATACTTAAGAGGGAAATCACTAGGACAAAAAGGGACATGAGATAGCTTTGGCAAATAGGGTTAAGGAGAATCCAAAGGGATTCTACAAATACGTTAAGGACAAAAGGGTGACTAGAGAGAGAATAGCGCCTCTTAAAGATCAGCAAGGCTGCCTATGTGTGGAACCGCAGAAGATGGGGAAAATACTAAATGAGTATTTTGCATTAGTATTTGCTGTGGAGAAGATATAGAACGTGGGAAAATAAAGAACGACATCTTGAAAAATGTCCATATTACAGAGGAGGTGGTGCTTTACGGCTTAAAACGCATAAAGGTGGATAAATCCCTGGGACCTGATCAGGTGTTCCCTAGAACTCTGTGGGAAGCTAGAGCAGTGATTGCTGGGCCCCTTGTTGAGATATTTGTATTATCGATAGCCACAGGTGAGGTGCCGGAAGACTTGGAGGTTGGCTAATGTGGTGCCACTTTTTAAGAAAGGTGGTAAGGAAAAGCCATGGAACTATAGATTGGTGGTGGGCAAGTTGTTGGAGGGATTCCTGAGGGAAAGAATTTACATGTATTTGAAAAGGCAAGGACTGATACGGATAGTCAACATGGCTTTGTGCATGGGAAATCTTGTCTCACTAGCTTAATTGAGTTTTTTGAAAAAGTAACAGAGAGGATTGATGAGGACAGAGCAATGGACATGATCTTTTTGGATTTCAGTAAGATGTTCGACAAGGTTCCTCATGGTAGCCTGGTTGGCAAGGTTAGATCACGTGGAATACAGGGAGAACTAGCCATTTGAAAACAGAACTACCTGGAAGTTAGAAGACAGAGGGTGGTGGTGGAGGAGGGTTGCTCCTTAGACTGCAGGCCTGTAACCAGTGGTGTGCCGCAAGGATCGGTGCTGCATTCGTCATTTATACAAATGATTTGGATGTGAACATTGGAGGTATGGTTGGTATGTTTGCAGATTACAACAAAATTGGAGGTGTAGTGGACAGCAAAGAAGGTTACCTCAAAGTACAACAGGATCTTGATCAAATGGGTCAATGAGCTGAGGAGTGGTAGGTGGACTTTAATTTAGATAAACGTGAGGTGCTGCATTTTGGAAAGGCAAATCAGGGCAGGATTTATACACGTAACGGTAAGGTTCTCGAGTTTGTAGCTGAACTAAGAGACTTTGGAGTGCATGTTCATAGTTCCTTGAAAGTGGAGTAGTAGGTAGATAGGATAATGAAGAAGGCATTTGATATGTTGCCTTTATTCGTCAGTGCATCGAGTGTAGGAGTTGGGAGGTCAGGCTGTGGCCATACAGGATATTGTTTAGGCCACTTTTGGAATACTGTGTGCAATTCTTGTCTCCCTTCCATAGGAGGGATGTTACGAAACTTGAAAGGGTTCAGAAAAAATTTACAAGGATGTTGCCAGCACTGGAGAGTTTGATCTATCAGGAGAGGCTGAATAGGCTAGGGGTATTTTCCCTGGAGTGTCTGAGGCTGAGGGGTGACCTTATAGAAGTTTATAAAATCATGAGGGGTATGGATAGGGTAAATAAGCAAGGTCTTTTCCCCGGGGTGGTGGAGTCCAAAACTAGAGGGCATAGATTTAAGGTAAGAGGGGAAAGATTTAAAAGGGACCTAAGGGACAACATTTTTATGCAGTGTAGTGCGTGTATGGAATGAGCTGGCAGAGGAAGTGTTGGAGGCTGGTACAATTACAACACTTAAAAGGCACCTGGATGGGTATATGAAGAGGAAGGGTTTGGAGGCATATGGGCGAAATGCTGGCAAATGGGATTAGATTAATTTAGGATTTCTGGTTGACATGGACCAACGGATCTGTGTCTGTGCTACACATCTCCATGACAGTCTATCATATGTGCCTGCACCTGCTCACCTTGCAGAATTAGATTATTTAATATTGATCTGCCCTTCCTTTTCCAAGGTTGAGTTGCAGGTATTGCATTGTTGTACTTCAGAGTATTAATCCATTTACGAGACCTTTCCTTATTTATTATAGTTGTACAATCTACTGGAAAGAATAAACCCAGATCACAACTTCCCAGTCAGGTAAGAAAGACATCAGTTTCTTTTAGTACTGTTGAACAGTGCATGTGAGTTTATTATCCAAGGGAAGGCACATTTACTGTAGCCAAGGCTGCTGTGCTATGTTTGATTCGAACATGTAGAGAGCACTTTGGACTTGACTGCTGTATTTGATCTAGGAGTGCTTGATGGGATGGTATTGAAGAAATTTGTTTTGCGTCTAATCTGTGCTGTTTGTTTGCGTGAAAGGTCACTGGAAGATTTAAGGGTAATGAATAGATGAACTGGAATAAACTGTTCAACCCTCGAGCCTGTTGCATCACTTATTTAAACCTCTGAACCTGATCTGAACTTCAACTTAGTTTTTCTATCTTTGTACTATATCCCTAATACACTTGCCCAAGGGGAAATAGTCAGTTTCACCCTTTAAAGTTTTAGTTGCGTTACTGCTCCCTCGGCATCCAGAATCTTTTTGGACACAAGTTCCAGGGTTATACTGTCCTTTGTGTGGGAAAACTTTCATGATTTCACTCTAGAATGGCTTATTTCTATTTCTAAATTTAAACTTGCGCCCTTTTGATCAGATTCCCCTAAGAGAAAGCAGCTTCTCTGTCTGCCTCAGAAAGTACCTTTATGAACATTTTGATCAGATTACTTCTCAATCTTCAACGCTCAAGGGAATATTGCACAATTTTATGGAACTCATGGTCATAATTTATCTTTCTAAACCCTCCTGTTCTGGTGAATTAGGGGGACAATAGAAACAGGATTAAGAATCATTCAGAATCAAAGTTCAGTCAGTCTTTTAAGTGGTGGGAAATGATGTGTCAAAGGTTTCATTTCCGAGGCTGCTGTTATTTGCAATGATTTTTATGTACGACTAGAGGGAGGGATGTTAGAATTTGTAGAAAGTTATTGAAATAGGCAATTCAGTAAAATTAATTATTAGGAAAATTCAGGAAAGCTGCAGAGAAACATTGGCAACAGGGGGAATTGTTTAAGTGCAAATATCAAATTCTCTGGTAAATAGGAAGTAATGGACTATTGTATTTTAAAAGAAACAATGATTACACAGAGCCTACAGAACGCTGAGCCAATTTCCATTGCTACTGCAATATGCCTTGTGCTAATTCCCCTTTCCTCTTCCTGTGTTGAAGGGGCTGACTCTTGCTGGGATGCAGTTCCACTAAACCAACAGTTCTCCCAGAGGATATGGAGAGGCAGAGAGGCTAGTCAGTAAATGTCAGCCAACTTCCAGGCTGCAGGAGGGAACATCTCACCAGCCCCTGATCTGTGTCTGTACACACTTTCCACTGCTCATACATCTTTAGAACACTGGATTGTAATCTGTGTGACTCGCTTGCACCATTTCCTTGCAGATTGACTCAGCTCAGTTTTCCTTGCATGATATCTATATGGGTGTTTTAACAGCATTTTGTGTCCCAGCACTGACAGAGGGAGAGAGAGGAGATCAATTGGTGGCAACCCAGTTGGTATGTGCCAATATAAGGTTCTTGCACTGTATACCAGATTTCATTTTACAACCTCCTGCTGATTTGTATGCATGTGACCTGTGGTCTGGCACTACAGCAGAGTTACCATTGTCTCTGTGGAGATGCCAACATCAGTCAGTCTCAAATAAGCAATGTCTGTGTATTTTGTCAATTTAGAAGCCTAGTTGGAAATTGGAATTTTGTTTTTCCTGAACCAAGACACATTTAAAATGCTCCACTTCTGTACGTCTGTTTCTCCTGGAAGAGGACAAAGAATAATTTTTGGCTTCTTGTATTTTGTCATTCATCGTACACTGTCATGTGTTTGTGCCTGAAATAACGTTGTGTCCTACTTGTGTCTTCTAGTTCTCACTGTCTCCGAGCAGCTGCATTCTACATCCGGGGCCTCCTGTCCTTCTTTCAGGGAAGGTACAATGAAGCAAAGTGAGTGTTTGGCTTTCCACAGCTGCCTGATTGTTTTAGTTGTTGAAGGAGACACCGCTAATGAATAGAGTGTTTGCTTCCACCAAAATACTTTTCACTCCAGTTCCTAAAATCACGACAGTGCTTAATCTCTACCCACCTCCTATTTCCTTTTAGAAATAAACATTTTAGCTCAATAAATATGTAATTTCAACATCTTGTATTAATTTGATGCAATTTTTTCTACTTTTAAAAGTTTGTGAATACCAAGTTATTCTGGTTCCTAAAATGCTGCCTTGATTCCACAACCTCTAGCTGTCTTCTGTCACCTATGCCTACAGATGTCACCTGACAAACCTGATCTCCAGTTACCATCTTTGGCCACTATTTGTGTCTCTGGATAGAGATTGTTTTCCAATAGGGATGCTGTTTCAATAGACTGATCAGCCTTCCTCAGAAGACACTATTCGTAGCTTATTAATATTTAAATTTGTCAGTTGAGGTCATTGAAAATTATTTGTGTATCTCAATGCAGAAACAATGATGTATTGATTAATGCAAATGATTCATTGTTACAGCTATGAGGTTTAAGATTGTGTTTTGGGACTGTATGAGATCATGTGGCCTACTGTGAAGTCTGCCTGATAGAAATCCTCGATGGATTGATTGTTAGAGATTAAAGGGGCCTAGATTGTTTTACTGGGCAGGTTTTTGCACTGGCAAGAATAGCAGCAGAATGTGTGGAAACAATAGAAATATTCTTGAGTCTTCAAAGGCCCAGAAAAACGTTGAGAATGTTTTTGGTTGGAAACAGTTGTGCTTTAAATTCCCATTTACATCTGAGTTAAAGATAATTGGGGTCTCAACGATAACACATCAGCATTTCTATTTGGATACAAGGCCCATGTGATACACATTGTCATGGAGATCTGGGAGCTAGAGTGGTTAGAATCGACCTGTGGTTCACCATGCAGCTATGTGCGTGGGAGCTGACATTCTGATTGGAAAGAGTTAAAACAAGTTGGGAAGATTTGCCTGGCTGTGGCTAAAGGAAGATAACTTCAGGAAAACTTGCACTGTAAAAGTCAGCTCTTAGGCTGCATTATACATTGAGATTGGTGTGGCAAGGGTGCTGTCCACTGTTATCTACTTGTCTAAGTCAGGTGTATTACAGTGGGGCAGTCTTCTCTTAGTCACAGGCTTGCTAACTGACCATTATTTATTGTCACATGGTGGATGGCTGCCAATTTCTGCACCTGCCTTGGTGACCTATAGTATTCGGGGGTGAACATGAGGATTGGTGGCTTCCTGAACTATTTTTTGTGCCCCCCTGCCAATAATACATCTGTCAAGGACATGTACAATCCAAACCCTGGAGTTAAAAGGAATGGGTAGAGGAAAAGATCTTCAAGTGCCAGCAATCATTTCAGAGTGAACCATCCATGTAAAATACATTTGCTGAAAGACTTTTTTCAGGATGTGTAAAAAATTAGTGCTTTTATCTATTTGTCAGTATCTTGAAACATTTTGTATTATCTGTTGAGCTATTAACTACAACTTTAATTTCTAAAAAAATTATCAGCCTGTGCGGGGATCATAACATCATCATAGCATGCAAACTGTAGAAGGATCTCAGATCTCTTGTCATTGCCTCTAACTTGCCCAGTTATTGCCGTTCTCCAATGTAAAGTTCCAGATACTTTCATCCTTGTGCAGACCAATAATGAATGATGTGAGAAATGAAAGCGCAAGGTCAGGGAAAAGAGCAGGAGACTTCAGAAACTTAACAGGCTATTTCCCTGAGTTGGATTGTCTAGAACTAGGTATCATAGTTTGAGAATAAGGAATTCATTTAAGACTGAAATAAGGAGAAATTTGTTACTGTGAGAAATCCAAGGATTCACAATTCTCGAACAGCCTTGATCTTGTTGAATGGCAGAACAGGCTCAAGGGGTTGTATTGCCAACTGCTATTATTTTCATAAGGTTGACATAGAGTCAGAACAGAGTGATGTTCGTGGACACAAAGTGGTGTGAGGAAAGAGTGGCCTAGAAAAAGGTACATCTGTCCCCTGCAGTTTTTGTCACAGTAGACCTCTTCTCCAAACGTGACTGACTGAATGCTGTTTGCTTTTAAGGCGATTTCTACGGGAGACTCTGAAAATGTCAAACGCAGAGGATTTGAATCGATTAACAGCCTGCTCCTTGGTGTTACTGGGTCACATATTCTATGCACTAGGAAACCACAGAGTGAGTTGAGTCTTCCTACTGAGAAATATCATGATGTGCTACTGGGTGCATTTAGTTTGAGTCGCTGTGTTGCAAACTGTTTATTCAATATTGAAGTAGGTGAGGAGCCCAGTATTTCTTCAGTCTTGCATTGCACTAGCTTTGATCAACATATTCTGCCCTTTTCCTGCTATTAGCAGCTCTGCAACAAGTTATGCATTTGTTGTCTGAGCCACCTAGTTCCTGGTAAATTCTGTCTTCATACCTACAGAGCACAGTTACAGATTCCGTGGTTGCTGATTCTTGCAGTGCTTCTGAAACGTTTTGCTGCTGCGTACCCCATTGTAATACTTCATACTTGGTGTAACCCCAGAATGTAAATTGAGCTATTAAGTGGGTAATTGAACAGCAGGGATACAGGCATGAAAACCAACTAAGACAACCTGTCATTTTTCAGGGTCTATTTGTGTAAGTGATGGAACTCATTGGATTAGGCTAGATCCACAGACAAAAAAATATTGTGCTTATTTAAAGATGATAAATGTGAGTCTCTGCTCAACAGTCATCATTGCTGCCCCCTACTCAGCCTCTCAACCTGCAGTTTGGGAAACACTGGCTTATTTTTGTAATCAGCCCAGAACTACGCAGCTTTCCTTGCACAGAGTGTGTGTGTCTCTCTCTCTCTCGTTTTCCACCTTTGTCCCTTGCCACGTCACCAGCACCACCTCCTTCAATGAGTTTGTCAGCTGTGGCTCCATCAATGGTACTTTCTAGTCTCTGAACCAGAAGATTGTGAATTCAAGTCCCACTTCCAAGTTCCAGGCAAACGCTTCCTGCCACAGTAAAGACAAAGTGCTGTACAGTCAGAGGTGCTGGCTTTCAGATAGGATGTTAAGCTGAGATCCTGACTCCTGCCGTCAAGTTGAAGTTGATCCTATAGTACTATTTTAAAGATGTAGGTGATTGTCCAGTGGTCCCCTGCCCTATGTTTATTCCTCTGTCAAGCTTTGAGTCACAATATCTGAATGATGAGGGACAGCAGCGACAGAAGGCAAAAAAGGGAAGCACATCCTGCACTCCAGATTCGACAACTCTTGGGGCATTCTGTCCCATGTTCCCAGAGGTCTGCAGGTTGCGAATCAACCTGTTCAGTCACAAGAAGACCCTTGGCAAAAACTTGTGACCCTCTAAAAACATTGTCCTTGAAGTGAGGGACAGCAATGATGTCGTACTTAATTATGCCATAATCTATTACAGAAGTGACAGATTTGTCAAACAAACAATGTTAAAAGGGATCATTGCGTTTTACAAGCTTGCTTACTTGTCTTCCATTTCACAGGAGAGTAATAACATGGTGGTACCAGCCATGCAGCTGGCCAGCAAGATCCCAGACATGTCAGTGCAGCTGTGGTCTTCAGCATTACTCCGGGGTAAGTAGGAGGAAAGATCAGGTAATGGGCAGTGTTGGATAGATGTATGTGGGATCTGGGGTGATCAGGTATAGTAATTAAATACATTACAATAGGCTCAGGGTTAGTAGGAATTCTCCTTCAGATTTTGTTTCCCTTCCTGGCACTTTTGTTCCTCCAGTGTTTACCTTGATTATTGTGGATGTAGAATCCCAGAGTGTTAAAATTACACCGACGTGACATTCTTGATTCAAGTAGATGTCACAGGATTTTGTCTTGTATTTCCCTACTTTGTTCAAAGTAAGCGGACCACATTGTTTTATTCTGCATCTGGAACTGAAGCTGTTCACCCAAACAGGGCATCCCAACCAGGAATGATCCTAACTTCCCAATGCTCACTTGCTTTGGATAACCATCAGGTCCAGATTTCAAGCATTTCGCGGTGGGAGATCTGATAGAATTCATCCATCAGCTGCAGCCTGTCAAATACCCAGGTGGACGGGAGCTTAGGCTGTTTTATCTGCCCCAGCCAAGCATATTCTTCTCCATACTGTGCAGTAACCATATGCTTACCTGTTTTTCGGAAGTGAAGAATGCTAAGGTGTATTGGCCATCGAGAGTTGTAAAACATTGCTGCAGTGTTGGCTGCACAATTCTGCTTCTAGATTTCAATGTTGTCAAAGTCCAGCTGAACAACTGAGCAGAAACCTCCAGCTTTAGTGTTCACTGCATTTTCAATCTCATACGCCGCAAGCAGAGACCATGGCCTTTTCTGCTTGACGCTTAGGGTCAAAAGCATTGTTACTCAGATCTGTTTGTGCATCTCTGAGGGACTGAGTGAGTTAACAGTAGTTATAGTGACTCAGGAGCTAGAAAATGCACATTACTTTGTTTTGAGAGATTTTTTTTACCCTCAAGAGATTTACTACATGCAAAACTCCACTTAGCTAGTGGAAGAGTTGCATTATAGAATGTTTGTCTGGTGAATGCAGAGTTGTGATGTTGCCACAAGCAAGTTGCCAGCTGATTCTCACTGTATGGTGTGCTACTGGAAGTGGCTCACAGAAGCACATTCCCCCTACTGTCTTCAATGTTGGATCTTCAGGGGGGATGGGGAAAATAATGGGGTCTTTTTGGTTTTCTGATTTTCTGAAGACTGCAGACACTCCAAATTTTAAATATTACACCGCTGTGACATTCTTCACTCAAGTTGATGTCACAGGATTTTGCGATTATTTTACGAGTAGATGCAGTACTCCCACCTGCCTCCTGGTGTCAGTAGTCGGGTATAGTTAGCAGCCATACTACCAATGGTGCATAGCAGTGATATGCAAGTGATGACCGTGAACTGATTCAAAACCACAAGGAATTATATGCACCACAACTTGCATTTAACATAAAATGTCTACAGGTCTGTCACAGCAGTATTAAAAAGCAAAATAAAGAAATGTAAATTTATGCATGTTAGTAGGAAGGTCACTATACTTGGAAGATACAAGTCCACGTGAGATGGAGGAACAAAGGGACCTGAGCATGTAATCACAAACAGCAATAATAAAATGTTTCACCACAGGTTAGCAAGGCTATTTTAAAAAAAAACTGAGCACAAGCCTTTTGTTTCTAAATAGATAATTGAAGAATAGGGATGTAAGAAATACTAAATTCTTAAGGTTTTAGCAAAGATTTGTAGCTCGGTTGTGGGTGAGGTTGCTGACTTGCTTGCCGAGCTGGCTTGTTTTTGTTCAGATGTTTCATCACCATGCTAGGTGACATCATCAGTGAGGCCTCTGATGAGGCTTCATCAAAGGCCTCACTGATGATGTTGCCTAGCGTGGTGACTAAAAGTCTGAACGAAAACAAGCCAGTTTGGCAAGCAAGTCAGCAACCTCCTACTAAATTCTTACTGAAGCTTGGTTATAACCGTATAGGTGGTACTGGGTGCAGATCTCATTGCCATATGAAAAGAATGTAGATGAACTGGTGAGGGTGCAGAGCAAGTTCAGAAGCATGATGTGAGAAATGTTCAGGTATACTTACCAAGAAAGGATTGACAGGCTGGTGCCCTTTTTTCTTGGGGGTGGGGGAGAGAAAAGGGTGAAGGATGTCCTAATAAAAGCGATTAAAATTATTGAAGGTTTTGATAGAGAAAATGACAGAGAAAACATTTCCTCTTGCAGGGAAGAGCACAACTAGATATCCATCTAATATCAACTAAAGGCCATTGACATAAAGTAGTCACCAAAAAAAATCCAATAGAGAATTCGGAAAAACTTCTTTACCCAAAGAATGGTGCAAATGTGGGACTTGTTATCACTGGCAAGAATTGAAGTGAATAATATTATTGCATTTAAGGGGAAACTAGTCGAGTGTTTAAGAAAAGAGTAGAGGAGTGACAATGGCACATTTAGATGAGAAGGAATGGGAGGAAGCATTGCTGGACCATAAATACTGGCATGGAGTAGTTGGGCCAAATGGCCTGATTCTGCGCCATATATCTGATGTAAAATTTGACACCGCTCTACTAAGGGGGCAGATGGCCACAAACTTGGTTACAGATGTTAAGGAGAGTCTTAAGAGAAAATAAGTGGACAAGTTTAGGGAAGGAATTCTGGAGCTTATGATCTTTGCAGTAGACCATTTGGCTGCCAATGGGGTAGTGATTAAAATTAAAGGCAAAAGGCTGCAGATTTTGAACACCTGAAATAAAAAGAATGCTGGAAATATTCAGGTATCATAGTATTAGTGGAGAAAGAGTCAGTTAGAGTTTGTGGTCAATGACTTCTTGCTAGGAATTATAAACTATGTTGCTGCATTGAGTTGTTGGGGGTTAACTATGGTCAAGATTAGACCAGTACATTACACTGTGAAATATTTAACTCGTTGAGAGGCAGCAAAGCTGCTTGTTCAGATGTCAACCACGATTAAGATATTTTATTTCAAAGACCAGTATAAAATTATTTCCAGGTCCTTTTATTGGACAGTAGTCCCTGAATGTTCTGGAAAGTCTTAGTTGGTGAATTGCCTGTTAGTCAATGTCTGATCACGAATCTGAAGGAAAGGTTCTATTGTATGTTCATTGTTCTAAATAATGAGCAGGTGCTGGAATACTGACAGATCCTGTTTTTCACTTTATCTAACCTGAATGTATGCAGATACTTAGTAACGCACAGTCACACATTATCACCTTGCCTGAGATTGTTGGATTGGGGACAGGTTGGTCATCAAATTTAGAATCTGCTGCACTTGGTTCAGCTAGAATACTAAAGATAACTGTTGCATCCTGTACCTGCAGAGGGAGCCTACTGTCAGCTATGACTCAGTTGGTAGCACTCATGCCTCTGAGTGAGAAAGTTGAGTGTTCAGGTACTGCTATAGATATTCGAGTTATAATGCAGACTAACACTGCAGAACAGAGAGTATGTTGCCCTTTCAGAAGTGCAGTCTTTTGAGGGACACATTAGACATGTACTCTGTTTCCTCCCGGGTACGTTATTTCCAAGTAGAGCAGGCAATTCTGTGTCTTGATATTTATCCTTCACCTACCATCTCAAAAGGTTTATGTTGTCAATATCATAATGCTGTCCACTAATTAGCTTTCATGTTTCCTACATTACAGCAGTGATTACCCTTCAAAAAGTACGTCATTGGCTATAAAGTACTGCATGATGTCTTGAGGTTATGAAAGGCACTTAAAAATGCAAGTCTTCATTTTGATCTGACCTGTGATGCCTCTTCAGTCATATTCCCTTGAGAAGGGCTGTTCCCAGCATATTCCACTAGGTGTCATATTTTTATTGTACTGTAATTTGTCTTTCGCTGCATTCATCCCAGTTAGCTGACTAATGAATTGAGTTGCACTGTCTGACCCTGGGATACAAGTTTTACTGTAAATATTTCCAGCTCTCTACAGCTCTCACCTACTATCAAGACAAAAGCCGTTTTCACACAGTAATTGTCCTGATTCAAAGAAAAAAAAGTTAAACCATTCCTCAAAAATTCGTTGGTGAGACAAAATATGTAAAGTTCTTTGCTGAAGTTCTTGAGACTTGTTGAAATGAGAAGAAAAATATCAATGAACAGAATTCAGTGTGGCGATGGCATAAGAGCTTCCATTTCCACTTCAGTGGAACTACTGCCGTACTGACACCAAAAACTAAAGCTTTGACTTTGGCTGTCCCATTCACACGTGTCATCTGACTCTGCATTTCTGCTAGACCATGCATGGCTCCTGTTCTTGACAGACACTTCATTCTGGATGAGCGGAAAATTTGCTCAAATTCCCTTCTAAATCCCATATGCTCTTGTGCTGTCTTGTTTTCACTCTCCTTCACAGGTTCCCAATCCATCTTCATCCTGTGCATTGATTTTCAAGATTTGTGTTCTCTTTCCCAACCTTTGCTGACTTTCGCAGTAATCTTACCAATGTGGTTTGGACCTCAATCTTAGCAGCAGCCTTTCACCTCCTGACAACTTACATTTATGTAACATCTTTAATGGTGTAATATGTCCCAAAACATTTCAGAGGTGTGATTTGACACGAGAACTCATCAAAACTGTGACCAAAGTTGTTTGTTTTGAGGAGCACCTTAAGGAAATGAGAGGAGGAGAGAGGGAATTCCAGAGTTTAAGATCCAGGCAGCTGAATTTCACAGCCCCCTCAACACTTGCACCTGCCACTTTACTCCCTGGTTTCAAACTTATTTCTTTGACCACGCCAGTGGTAAAAGAACACCGTGTCAGCGCAGTTTCATTGATAATACACTTGTCTTTCACTTCAAACATTGTGAGCTGAGGCCCCAATCTTAAACTTGAGGTCGCATCCTCAGCTAATATGCCAGTGTAATACCGAGAGTATGTACTGTTCAAGTTACTATTCTCTAGATGAAATTTTAATCCAAGGCCCTACTACTGGATGTCCACAGAACCTAGAGCACAGAAGATGGTCATTCAACCCATCATATCTGATCCAGCTCTTTGGAAGAGATATTCCGTGATGGCCCTGCAGTTTTTTATTTATCCGATTCTCTTTCAAAGGTTACTATTGAATCTGTTTCCATCACCCCCTCAGGCAGTGTATTTTAGATCATCATAACTTGCTGTATGATAAAAACAAGCCTTTATCACCTGGTTTTTTCCAACAATAATTGGTTCTGTGTCATCTGGTTAGTGCTTCTTTTGCTAGTGAAGCTAGAGGAATAAGGTCAAACTATCTAGTTATAAGTAAAATACTGTGAATACTGGTGCTCTGAAATGAAAACAAAGTGTGAGAGAAACTCAACAGGTGTGACAGTGTCTGTGGAGAGAGAAAGTTAATGTTTCAGGTCAATTTGAAACGAGAACCAGTTTTGAGTAAAAGTCACATTGGAGTCGAAATATTATCTTTGTTTCTCTCTCCACAGCTTTTGCCAGACCTGTTGAGTTTCTCCAGCAGTTTCTATTTTATTACCCTAGTTAACATTTTGAACATCTCCAATTAATAAAAATTAATTCTGTAACTTCTCCTCTACCTATGCAGGGTCTCCTGAGCTCCTCTAAAGTGCTGTAGAAAGTTGGGAGAAAGGTGCCTTAATTACACCATTTCCTTAATTTAATAATGAATAGTAGCTGCTCCTTTTGTCTAAGCAGCATTGTTCTGCAGCAAAACCTTTTTTTTTAAGTGTTGTTATCCTCCTCTTAGATCTGAACAAAGCTTGCGGGAACAGCATTGAAGCTCATGAAGCAGCTCAGATGCACCAGAATTTTTCTCAACAGCTTCTCAATGACCACATAGAGGCCTGCAGTCTTCCTGAACACAACCTGATCAATGTAAGTATAGTTATCCTGGGCACAATCTGGTCAACATGTAAATACAACTTTCCCCAACATGACCTCTTTGAACAGTCCCATGAGAGTGTTTAAATTGCATCGACGAAAGCAGACAAATGGATAATGCACAATTGTGCTTCTTCTGGTGCAGTCAGCTAATTAAGCACACAGATTTAACCTTGACCAAGAACCACACATTATGATTTAGTTACCAACATTTAATCCTGTTGTATCCAATTTCATACAAAAAAACTGACCCATAACCCT